TCACAGAAAAAAATATGACATGCAACTATAACCCAATATGTATGATCACCATACCAATTTTGATCTAAATCAGCCCAGTCATCTCTGAGAAACAGCTCAGGACATGTAAAAATGACGATTTAGCACTTTTACATGAAAATTGGGCGTCGGCCAGCCATATTGAATTGAATCACAAAAATCATGTTGGTGCAGATGTATCTCTTGGTATACTATCTTTGTACAAAATTTAAACAGAAACAGAAACATTCATTGCATTCAAGATAAAGTACCATGGGTACCATTAAAAACAAGATGGCCGCCAGTTGGCCATATTTGTTTGAATCACGAAAAAAAATGACGTGCACCTACAACCCAATATGTATGATCATCATGCCAACTTTGATCCAAATCGACCCATTCATCTCCGAGAAACTGCTGCGGACACATTTAGGTATCAGAAATAGCAATCTTTACATTAATAGTCCCCGTTTTCGGACTTCGTCCGAACGGGGACTAAAATTTAAATCTATTCAATACACATCATGTAATATACCAAATGAGTCTAGAATTTAGATTTGAAATAAAATCAAAGATCAGAGAAATGAAATTTCAGATATCATTATTTTTATTATAGAATTTGGCAATTTTTTTCACTAAAAGAAGAAATGTATTTATTGACACTATATCTAACACCAGCACATATATATTAAATTATGGGTAATTTCATGCAGAAATATAATATGGTATAGGATTGGACACATTTAGTACATGATTGACCACAAGGGTCCAGGATTGACCAAATATGGTATAGGATTGGACACATTTAGTACATGATTGATCACAAGGGTCTAGGATTGACCAAATATGGTATAGGATTGGACACATTTAGTACATGATTGATCACAAGGGCACAAGGGTCTAGGATTGACCAAATATGGTAAAGGATTGGACACATTTAGTACATGATTGATCACAAGGGTCTAGGATTGACCAAATATGGTATAGGATTGGACACATTTAGTACATGATTGATCACAAGGGTCTAGGATTGACCAAATATGGTATAGGATTGGACAAATATGGTATAGGATTGGACACATTTAGTACATGATTGATCACAAGGGTCTAGGATTGACCAAATATGGTTTAGGATTGGACACATTTAGTACATGATTGATCACAAGGGTCTAGGATTGACCAAATATGGTATAGGATTGGACACATTTAGTACATGATTGATCACAAGGGTCTAGGATTGACCAAATATGGTATAGGATTGGACACATTTAGTACATGATTGATCACAAGGGTCTAGGATTGACCAAATATGGTATAAGACTGGACAAATATGGTATAGGATTGGACACATTTAGTACATGATTGATCACAAGGGTCTAGGATTGACCAAATATGGTTTAGGATTGGACACATTTAGTACACGATTGATCACAAGGGTCTAGGATTGACCAAATATGGTATAGGATTGGACACATTTAGTACATGATTGATCACAAGGGTCTAGGATTGACCAAATATGGTTTAGGATTGGACACATTTAGTACATGATTGATCACAAGGGTCTAGGATTGACCAAATATGGTATAGGATTGGACAAATATGGTATAGGATTGGACACATTTAGTACATGATTGATCACAAGGGTCTAGGATTGACCAAATATGGTTTAGGATTGGACACATTTAGTACATGATTGATCACAAGGGTCTAGGATTGACCAAATATGGTATAGGATTGGACACATTTAGTACATGATTGATCACATTGTTTTAGGATTGTCACTACTCACAATTTATGAGAACTGCACCTAATGTAAAAGGTAGTCCCTTTCATGCAATAACAATAAGTATTATGGGATAGAAACAGCCTCTCCTTTATCTTAGGATTTAAACTTGCCATAAACATCATTGCTTATGTCATTTACCCACATATGCTATGATAAAAATATAACTTTATTTCAAACTATGATAAGTTTGTGTTGGATACAGTGTGAGTATTTACCTTTTTGAGTAATCTATGAAAAAAATTGTAAATATTTTTCATCGCTAATTGAAAAGTACATTAAAATATCTTATTTGATATATGCCAATATCTATTTCAGGCAAATATCTTTGCCAGTTTTGGTAAAAAATAATATTTTGACTTCTTCCTGAACATTACCAGTCCTATGATATTTGAGGTGTACATATTTTTTGAGAACATTTTTTAGGTTGACATGTTCTTACGAGCCAGAATCAAACTACTTTTTTGTTGGTAAACTGCATTTTGGCTACCACAGTGTTCTTGTAGGACAGTGGCAATGTATCGACTGTTGGGTCCCTTGTTCCATATAGTTATCACACATAAACCAAACAACATCTTGGATATTTCACAAAAACAACAAAATCAATTTAAGAAAAACTGGTTTATTTTGATTATTTGTTGTTGTTGTAAAAAGCTTGTCTATAAATCTACAAAGCAACTTAATTAAATTGAAATTCAAAAATTTTATTTTATTTTTCCATTATTTGTTTTTGTTTAGTGGTTGTAATTGTGATATCTGTATTGATAAACTGTACCGGTATGATATTAGTTGCAAAACTATTTACCAGTACCGGTAGTTGTATAATGCCACAACCGCTTCCACATATAGGATGAATTGTAAAAAGTGTAGTTGAACATCTTCTTTGTCAGATTTGTAAGAACTCTCGTCTCCCGAACTATCCCAGTTGTATACTAATTGGTCTAATTAATCTATCAAAGAGAGTAAATAGTGCTT